TACTCGGCTGCCAAAATAAGACAGTGCACCGGAAACCAGCTGCAACGAAATGAGGAAACCTGGGCAAATCCGAAAGCAGCTCCTGCAGCGCAACGTAGTGCTCAACATACTGGCATACATCCGAGATCCTCAAAACTTGCAATGTGCCACATCCCCCCAAAAAACAAAAAAACTTACAAGTCTTGCGAGAACACACCGGGAAAAAGAAAAAAAAAAAACGAGCCTAGGTCCTTTGAGTGGTTCTTCCTACGGACGGACTGAGCTTGGAACGCCTTGCCCCGCGTCTTGCGCTCTTCTGCCAGCGCGGCCGTCAGCTGCTCCTCCAGCTTCACGTGCAGCCCTCGGGCGGTCGGAGGCGAGGTCCGTGAGATCGACGACCCGAAATTCCCGGGAGTCGTCAAGTGGGCGTCCCGGCCGTCCACCCGAAGGCTGAGCTCTTCAACCAAGCCATCTGGCGGCTCCAGAAAATGCAAGTCCCATTTTCCGCCAATCCGGGCACCAACTAAGCTGCTTGAGAAAACGACATGGACAGCTCTGACGAACGCCGGATCGCAAGCTCTGGAAGCAACCCGGGCCTAACTTTCGCAGCTTCGACCGCTCTAGAGAAGCCTGAACACATCAGCCACGTGTGCTGCTGCAAAGCAAAAAGACCCCGCCTCAGGCGTGGCTGGCCTTGGGGCTGGCGACTTGACATGCCACTATGCAAACAGCTCTGAGTCTGCGTCTGCTGAGCAGGTACATCATGTCTGGGCGAACTCTGTGGAGAAAACTCCTGCCCTTAGGCATGCGCTCAAGGCAGCACCCATACCGCATTACCATTGTTTGCTCCTGCCATTTCAAACGCCCCTTTGCAAACACATGCACTAGCCTCTGAGTGCTGTGCTGGCAGCCTCCATTGCCGCCTAAGCCCATGTCTGTCTTTTGCCACCCTTGCAACTTTGCCCTCTGAATCCCTGTGGAGCTTGCTAATAAAACACTGCTCGAAAGAGTCATCAGCTGAATCAGCTTGAATGCATGGAATGCTTCGCCGTGACTGGACGCCGCAACAACCGCGCCTGGAAGCTGGCCTGCTGTTCGCGGCGAACACGCTCCTCCAGCGAGCTGAGAAGAGCAGCCTGAAGCTCGCGCGACCAACTCACCAGGCCTTTCAACAATTTCCTTCTTGGAAATAGGACCAAAACAGCTAGGATTGTGCCGATGTCCGAAACACAATGCGAAAGCACATCCCTTGGCAACAGCCTTCCTACCAGCTTGTCACCCTGGCTTATCCCCCTGGCACTGCCACATGCCATGCAAGCAAGCGACAAACGAGTCAGTTGCCGAGGCCACTTCCTGGCTGCTTGTTGCCAACTTGGCCAGAGTGACAAGCCGAACGCAGAGATGTAAACAGCAGTGACAGCCGTGGCTTAAACAGTTGACATGTCAAAACAAGGGGTTCGCCCAACTCTTGCCCGCTTTTCAAAACAAACAATGGACATGTCATTCGCGACAAGAAAGTTTGTCCTCCTGGACACTGTTGAGGATTTCTCCCCGCATCTTCTCCACAGTTGCTACACAGCCTTCGGTTTTCTCCTCAAGTACCTGCACCGCAGCTTCTGCATTCACGGCCTGGGCTGCCGAAAAAGCCGAGCCTGGCGGAGACCTTGAATCTCGCGCTCGAAGATTTCGGCCCAGTACAGACGCTCAGCCTGCGCCCGTGGCATCATGGCACCATGGCACTTGCTTCAAGCGCACAATTCCGCGCCGTCAAATGTTGTGTGGGAGAAGCCGAGCGTGGCGAGCCAAACATCTGAGGGCTGCTGCCTGCCAAGCTGCCTGCAGCTGCAAAAGAAAGCGGGGCTCCCACTTGGCTGACTGCCCCATGTCAAGTGGTCCATGACCCAAATAAGAAGTCCCCCCAGGATTTGCCTACAGACCCACTGAACTGGGACTTCACCGAAGTTACCACATTGGTGGCCCCTCTCTCTAAGGCTCCCGCGGCTTTGCGCAACTGAGCTCGAGCTGGGGCTCGGGGACGCTTCCGCCGCGCGCGCGGCGCAGCGCGCCGCTGTCCGTGGGGAGAGCGGCCGTATGCTCATGGGAATGCCACGCAAGGGATTCGGCCCGGCGGGTTCGTCTGCGAAGTCGTTGACTGGGCTGCCATCGTCACTGTCGCCAGCCTCAGCCCAGTCGTAGGCACAAATCCCTCACGAAATTCCTCATGGTCAACTCCATGCGTGCTGAGGATTGGGCAGTCACTCTTCCAAATCCCGGCATGTATTGGAGCATGGAATGAGTCCTAACCCTCAAGCCTTAATGGCTACAGCATGGCCCGCGTGTTGCTGCACTGGCCTTCCGTGACAAGAATGATCGGGCCTGTGGCACCAACGGAACTGAAGGAATGATTCAAACGGCAATCTTGGCATTGCGGCCCTGAAATCCAGGCAAGCAATGGGCATCCACCCCCAACAGCAACAGCCTTGATCCTGCTGGCTGAATCTGAATAGTGAAAAGCTCAAAATCCGGCACAGATCAACCTAAAAAAGGGACAAGACCAATTCCAGGCCCGTTTGACAAAGGATGTGGCAGGCACCGATTGCCGAACGAACCGACATGCTTCGACCACCTGCTTTACAAGCCCCAGCTGGGCCAGATTGGGAATGCCGTCATGCGACCACAGTAAAATAAATTCCTGCTGGCGCAACGCCCACCCTAAGCCAACTCTACGTCATGCTGGGCCAGACCCAACAAAAAAACAAAAAATGGGGCCATCGGACTGGCACGATCAGCCAACCCAACCCAACCAACCCAACCAACCCAACCAACCCAACCAACCAACCCAACCATCCAGAAATCCAACCATCCAGCAATCCAACCATGCAGCAACCAGTTTGCACCCTAGCTGGTTGCCACGTTCTTTTTTCGCTTCTCCTGGGCAAGGTTCCAAAGACAGCGAGCCGAGCTCGTCGAAGGTACTCTTGGCGCCGGCGGAGCCGGGGAGGAGTGCAGAGTAAGCCATGGTCATCGGCGAAAAGTCGCCTGCGCCATCCATCCGGCAGCTCCGGAGGCATTTTTGTTCCGGAGGGTTTGGGGGGTTGGCTCTGGTTGGTCCGTTTGGGTTGCCCGCCTTGATCACTTCAAACATAGATTCATTGAACTGGCTGACGGTTTTTTGAGTCGCTGGCTCTTTTCGACCGGCAAGCAGCTCGTGGCACCGTGCAAAGGGTTGCAGAGACACAGCTGGAGAGTGCCTCTGGGGCTTTATTACCCAGTCCACATCGGTGTCGCAACCCCAAACCGGTAAAATAGCCCCCCCCCCCCCCCCCGCAACAGGATCTGCAACTACGCAAGGAGCAACAACAGCCCATCATCATCTAAGCACACCTTACCAAAAGGATTGTTTTTTGGTTCGCGTTTCATTCTGTTCTCACAAATCTGCTTCCAGTTGCGTCCAACATGGTTCCAGACCCGCACGCCGAGGCCCCGCCTATGCTGACATTGTCTGCATCTTTCATGTCCTCAGCCCAGCAAGTTTTTGGCCCGGCAAGCTGGACACGAGGCAGCCTCCACTAAACTTGCGTCGCTTTGAACTACAACTGCGGCTACTGATTTCGAGGAGCGGCACTTCTCATGGCCAAGCAATGGCTTTAAGGATCCGTTGCAACCTGCGTTTCATGTCTCACGGCATCGGCCATCGTCGAAACCAAATGTTTAGGACGTGGGAAAAATCAGTGACCTTGTATTTGTTTGAAATTTCATGAACCACCACCACCCCATGAACCAAAGACTACTTGAGCAATTGACCGAAACTTACTTTGGTCAAAAGCCAGCACCGACCAACTGCCTGCATCCCTTCTCAATGACGCCAAACAATCAGCAGATCCTCTCCTGCATGACGGTCAGGCCGCTCTCGTCCAGCCAGGCATCGTGAGTGAGCCCGCCAACTCCGGTCATCGCATCCTCTTGCAGAAAGACCTGCACTTCCGTGTCATCCTGTCAGGCTGCAAACCCTTCACACGCAGGGAGTCATGTGGACAATGCCAGCAGCAGTGCAGTTTCTTCCCCCATGTGTCTTTCTTATCTCTTCATTTACTTGTCGATTCATTTGTGTTGTTACTATTCCGACTACCCGTCGTCAAAGCTACACCACATGTGTCTCGCTGTGTTCGTAGCCCTCCTCTTCTCGGCAACGAGTCTGGCAACAAACGCTTTTCCAGACTTCGATGCATGTGTAGTCTCCTCTTTGCTTCGTCTCTCTGCTCTTATGCTGTATTTAACTTGCTTCTTTGCAGGGATACGTCCACACAGCCATTGGCTGGCTGGCCTAAAGCAGGCACCCTTGAGAACCTTCTAAAGCGCAAAGCCGCCTGCAATCGCCTCCGTCAGAACTGCCAACCAATACCAAAACGCCCCCACACAAAACAAAGCGAGGTGAGCGAATTTGGTCAGTTCGGCAGCCGAATTCTTGATCAGGGCCTTGTTGTAGTCACTCCGAGCTTGCAAAGGGAAAAACAAAGGGTGGTTGACTCCCATTGGGTTTGCTGCGCCCAGGGGCGTTCAACCAAACATCAATCGAAGTATGTTGTTGTTTGGGTGCACCCTATTTAGAGGGGTGGTTCGCATGTTTCCTCTACGCACTTCCCGTGGCAGCTTCTGGTGACAGGCCTAGATGTTCGTCTATCTGCAGTATGGACATGCGGATTTTACATCCAAGTTTTGAGACATATGTGATGATTACATGTATTCCTGGAGTGTCCCGTATGTCGCGTGCTCTGAAAGCGGGTCCAGTTTGCGGGTGCAAACGGCCAAGCCGCCACCTCACGTTCACCCGCCAAGGGGCGTCGCATTTGTAGAAGACACACGTACGCGTGAGAGTCGCCGTCTTCGCGTGCTCCAAGCGAAAGCGCTTTGGATCGGTGGCCATGACAACGATCGTTCTTAAGGCATCGACTAACGCTTGCGTGCTGGCATGACAATCATAAAATTAGAGAGCCATGAAGTTTAGAGATGGGCTAACAGCTGCGGAAAGAATCGCCAGACAAACGCCAGTATAGGACAGTTGTTTTCTAACACCCCCATCACTGGTTGCACAAGCCTGCGGGCCAGGTTTTTGTGGTGTTTTTTCACGCGCCTTTTTCCACCGCCATGGTTCGTCCCCCAAAAACCCTGCTTAAAGGAAGCCTCCGGGCACGGGAGGCGCACAAGCCATTTGTATGTCGGGGGCTCCCGGCCGGGTCCTCAAATGAGTTTGATTTTCCCCTCTTTCAAGAAGCGCACGTCGGAGAGGCGGCTGGCCCGCGTCGGGAAGGATGCCGCAAGCCCCCGTCCACCGCCTCAGCCTCGGCACTCTGCGCCGCGCGGCTCCTCACGGCGCGCAGGTGTGGCTGGCCGCTGCGGCTGCCGGTAGCGGCAAGAGACCGCCGCTGCTGCGGACCTGTTCTTCTTCCCTCTCGCACCTTTTTTCTGGCACACGAGGGTTTGCAGGAAAGCTGCACTGTTGAAACTGTTTGCGTGCGCGCAGGAGTGTCACGCTTTGGATTGGGGCACAAGCCTTGGAGAGGCACCACTGCGCTGTGACCGGGGCAAACAGCTCCCGGTGAGGCGGGCAAGTCGAGTCCGCAAGCAACACACTCAAATCCGGGCAGGGTTCGGCCAGCAGCAACCTGCCTTGCAGCAAAGTCAAGCAGGCACCCCAACGGCCGCCGACCTCGAGCGCGAGGACAACTGCAACGGCTGGACCAGAGCAGCTCGGCAGCAGGGCGGGACCAAAGTACATGGCGTTGGTGGTTGCCCGGCTTCACGGCACACCTGGGCAGCAGCCTGTTCGTGAGCATGGGGCTGGCGGGGAGAACGGTCAGAGGGGCGACGGGCGAGGAGTTCACGCTGGTTCGCTGCGAGGTTGCGACAAATGGGGGAGCCGACGGGCACGACGAGGCAACTCTCAGCAAACTTGGACCCAGCTTCAACCCCAGCATCAAACTGTGGCAGGATTGCAGTTTGGAGCTGAAAATATTCTGCCAACCGCAGCACCACATTGAGGCGGACCGGACAAGCAGCGCTCGCAATGCGTCACAGAGGAGGGGTTGTTGGAGGCCATGAGATGATACCTGGCCTTCTGCTCGGCGAGGGCAGGAGCGCCAGTGTTCGCTGGGGCAGCACACCCACGGTGTGGCACCTCCGCGGCGGGACCGATATGACGTTGGCAGCTGCTTCCTCACTGACCCTCCGTTCGCCATGACAGTCAGACAGGCTACAAGCGATATGCCACCAAAGGCCTCATCCCATTAAGAAGGAAAAATAAGGTGCCCATACTTGCGAGAAAAAGTGTTGTAAGCTCCCCGACCCTGTGCCCCGTGGCCAACTCGTCCGAGCCACACACAGTCATTATCGTTTTGCGCATGGATGAGCAAGATACCTGGCCCGAAGCATTGACGTTCGGCAGGTGACTCACTGTGGTCGCAATGTTTCGCTCACTTTGGTCCTTGTTGGTTTTCTGCGCCGTCAATACCAAAAATTGAAGAACCCGCCTAGACAGTGACTCACTTTCGTCTTAGTCATTTCTCAGTTTGGTCGCAGTGGTTTTCTCACTTTGGTCGTACTTGTTTTGCCCGTACTGTGCTTCATGATGACCAACTCACATCACTTTAGGTTTTTTTGCTGCGCCTGTCACTTCTTCAGGTACTCAACACATCACTTTAGGGTTTCCGCTGCGCCTGTATCAGTTTAGGGTTTCTGCTGCGCCTGTCACTTCTTCAGGTAGTCAACACATCACTTTAGGGTTTCTGCTGCGCCTGTATCAGTTTAGGGTTTCAGCTGCGCCTGTCACTTCTTCAGGTAGTCAACACATCACTTTAGGGCTTCTGCTGCGCCTGTCACTCCTGCAGGTAGCCAGCGCATCAGGGTTTAAGGTTTAGGGTTTAAGGTTTAGGGCTTAGGGTTCAAGAAAGGGTTTAGGGTTTAGGGTTTAGCTTTTAAGGTTTTTAGGGTTTAGGGTTGCCGGGTTGATGTGCTAGGACCGAAGCGAGGAGCGCGCAGTTCAGTGCGCATGCGTGCCAGGACCGAAGCGAGAAGCACACTAGGAGAAACAACTGGGACCGAAGCGAGTAAAAAAACTAGGACCGAAGCGATGCCGACCTTGCTTGCGTCTGCCTGTGGCTTCTGCTTCCGCAGCAACCGCCCCACGTCCGCTAAACGCCGAAGCAAAGAAGGGGGCATCGAGACTCCCCCAAAAATTGCCTGAAAGCGAGAAAAAACATGCGCCAACAGCGCCCCAGAATAGCTTCTGGCTGAAAAACTCCGCAGAACCAATTGGGCGCGATGGGGCCGCAGACGTTGCCCAGAACAATGTTGTAAAGGGGTGGCTATGAGTGGAGTATGACTCAACTTTGTCCACTGAGCATGACAGAACTATGAGGACGCAACGGAGGAGAGCCTTTGCCTAATGCATTGCTTGCAAGCCTGTCCATCTGCTGCACGCTTGGGCCATTGCGGGTGGGTGGCTCAATCAAACAGCGTTTCCTTGTCCAGTCAGTGCACAGTGGCCGCATCATGGGGATGCCTCACTCCTTGACGAAGGAAGCCTTGCGTGCGCGGCAACCCAAGTTTACACGATGGGCAGGCGCTGTCTTTTAGCAGCGGGCCCTAGGCTGCTTGCGAGCCTTTCAACATGATTCTTGCGAGCGATAGCCCCTAGACTCCGAGCATCCTTCCCGCAAGGGGCAATTTCGTCGCCGGAAAATGTGGACGTATTGAGATCCATTGCGGTGGCCTGGGTGGAGGCGACCTACGTGGCCCGACTTTCGGAGGCTCTCCCGACGTTGTGATTTCAACGGGGGGTAGGACCCGCCCAGCCCCTTATGGGCCAGGGAGGTGGCAGTTGACAGCATTAACTGGCTGCAAAAAGTTTTTAGGTCCAGATGCTCATATTTCGTAAAACGAAAATTCTCGTTATAGGAGGTTTGGTACAGGTCATCGCCCAACAGCCCTTGCAGCGCATAAACTTGGCCATCTAACTCCTCCGAGTGTGGGATGCCCGAAGCAAACTTGCGCCGGCCAAATGAGGCCTGTATATCACCAACGGCGACGCTGCGAGAAGCAACCATGTTGATCCGCAAACAAACACGGCGTCCAAATAAGCTGAAAAAAATCAACGGAACAATCCCGGATTGCATTCCTTGAGCCACGCGCAGACACAAGTATGGCAGCTGCATGAATAAAAACGCACCACCCTTGCAAGAAAAAAGGAAGGTGGGAGGCGTCAATACAAATGAAAAGGAGGGGATTAGACGCAGCCGGCCACAGGACGGGGTAGCCAGGACATATGAAAACCCCAGTAATCAAGCGTAAGTACTAGGCCTCAACCCAGCCACCCAGAACGATACTCCCGGAAAGTTTTGAGCAGGCCGCGGCACAGCCAAAGGCAATCAAAAATCCTGACCTTCCTCACCGTCCGACTTGACTTCGGCCCCCAGGGCGGGGCCACGTGCATTCTCAGCCATCGCGCAGATTGCTTGTGAGGCAGGTGGATGATGCGCAGGGGGCCTACACCCAAGGGACAACTTCATCGATATTCTGGGACAGCTGTCGTCGAATCATGATGTTGCGTCCCGTGAAAAAATGCAATCTTCCCTCTTCGGGCGCCCCGCATCTTCTTGTTTTTTTGTCCCCGTCCGGGTGGTAGTCGCCCACGGCAATTCACTTGTCGTTCATGTCTGGCACAAGACGAAACTTTGCCCGAGGGAACACCTGCGGCGGCGCTTCCCTATTCCACTCTTCGAGCCCCGAAAGACCGAAGAGCTGCATCAAATCCAGCCCAGAGCACGCGCCACTTGCGGCGGCGACGTGCGTGTTCGACCAAGAACATGTGTTCGCGCTCCTTTTTCCGTCTGCTCCTGCAGGCCACTTATACCAGCAGCCCCCAAATGTGCTTAGGGGGCATCGAGGCGGCAGCCATTTGTATACTTCGGTTAGGCCAGCTGGATTCGCCCGCCGGTGGCGTGTAGGCAAGATCAGCCAGCAAGGTGCAGGGTGCCACCCCCGACATTGCACAGCGCGGGCCCGGCAGCCTGCCTGAGAAGGGACGAAGCTGTCATGGCTGCATGGGTCACCTGGGTCGACCACCTGGCACCAAGAGCTGAGTCGAGCTCGCGCTTCAAGTGCCCGGTCGTGGGCCAGCGACCGGATGAAGGAGGCGGCGTCATCTGCGTGCCCGCACGAGCTCTGGGTAGGCCCGCTCCTTGCGACGGCGTGCCAGGGTGAGGGCAGCACCGCGCCGAACGGGGCTGCGCCTGGCCTGGCAAGGGCGAGACAAGAGTTGTGCCGACTGCGAATTTCTGGCCCCCCGAATAGTGGGAGGCCATTGGCCACTACTTCCAGCCGCCTATCGTCCACCCAATCAACTTGAAGGTTCAAGTCCGCAAGGTGTGTGTTCGAGGCGTTTCTTGCGCAAGCTTCTCTGCAAACGCATGTCTTACACACCTGCGACCAGGCACCACCGGGCCAGTAAGATTCGTGGAGGACTGAAAATGCATGCGCCTCAGGCCCACAACAAAACACAGATCAGTGACTGATGGGGGGCCAAACCACAAGCAAGTAAACCCACCGCATGCAGGAAAGCCGCCACGCAAGTCACCCGCGGCGGCGGCGGCGCATGCGCGCGGAAGGAGACTGACCCGCAGCGGCCGCAGCCGCAGCAACGTCACCGGCCCCGGCCCAAACACCCTGCCAGCCCAGCCAACCCCGCAGCGGCCACACCGACAACAATCGAGGCAACGACTTGGCCGAGCAGCCCCACCAGCCCGACCCCGACCCCGACCCAGCCCCAGCTGCGGCCCCGGACGTCCGGCGCTTGCGGCGAGCCCCAGGTGCTCCAGGAACGTGCGTTTACCTTTCAGCTTGTGCCTTCCTTTGCTCGCGGGCCCGTACGGCAAGCCTTTGCTTTTGCCCTCTCTGCAAGCGTGGAAGTTGTGGCTCCTTTTGCCCCGCCTCCTGTTGCACCGGAAGCCTGGGGTCAAGAAAATCA